AGGAGGTGTGCAGGAACCAGCTGATCGATGTTTCTCTATCATCAATATTTCTAATTCTCTATCCCTCTCCTTTCCTCTCTGTAAAAAAATCAATAAAATATATTTTAAAAAAAGATTAATACAGTCCTAGCTGATCTGGCTCAGTGGATAGAGCATCAGCATCGGCCTGTAGACTGAAGGGCCCCAGGTTCAATTCTGGTCAAGGGCACATACCTGGGTTTTGGGCTTGATCCCCAAGAAGAGAGCGTGCAGGAGTCAGCCGATCAATGATTCTTTTCATTATTGATGTTTCTATCTCTTTCTCCCTCTCCCTTCCTCTCTGAAATCAATAAAAAAATATATTTTTTAAAAGATTGATACATTTTATTTTTCATAATCTTTACCACTTTCAGATTTCTGAGTGTGCCTTCCTCACTCTGAGATATTAGATTTTGGTGAATAAATCCTCATCTTATTTTCCATAGTCTTTTATGACATTAGAGGTGTGGTGTGTTTTTTAGTCCCCAAAAGCTCCGCCATCCCCTTCTCTGCACCTTCTCTGCCTTCTCTGTCTTCTCTGTCCCTTATTGGTGATGGAGTTGTGCTTTGAATAAGCTTAACCCATCTTCCTGCGTTAGCCTAAGTGGACTCAGGTCTTCTGTTGCTCTGGGTGGCGGTTCTCAGCTGGAGGGACTGCACCACAATCCTCCCTGGAGCTATTAAACATGCAGCTGCTGCAGCCCCACCCTAAGCCTATTAATCCAGCTCCTCAGGAGTGAGGGTCCAGCCTGTGTGAGTTTTAAAAGTGCTGCATTGACTGACTACAAATCCTTGTTTTAAAAGTCTGTAGCTATTGAAGAACTTAAACAACTATTGGATACACAACAAGTCTTTGAGGAGCCAAATTAAACTTCTGGCTCCAGGCAAAGGTTCGTGAAAGGGCAAAACAGCAAGGTGCATCAGGTGCTCCCCATATTCTTGAGCCTGAGTCCTCCCTCTTTATAGCAGGTCGCTCTGGAGGCTCTGTTGACAGCTGACACTGCCAGCCTTTGGTGCTGGTCCCCCTTTGTTGCCCTTTGTCTCTGAGACTCTTATTTTGAGAGTAATTGAAATGATTTATTTGACACACAGTGATGGAGGGAAGACAGTTTCCTTTTCTTGGGAGACACTAATATTGAAAGCTTCATTAGCAAGTTTTTCTCACCTTTTGTTTCTATTTTAGGCAGAAATGGACCTTAAGAGACTGAGAGACCCATTACAAGTACATCTGCCCCTCCGACAAATTGGTGAAAAAGATTGATCTGCAAAGAGCCTCTGAATCCCAGCAGAAAGAACACTTGTTTATAACTATTGCCTTTTTAATTAAAACATTACAGGTAGAAGCTGGGAGCCATGTTGGGGTGGAGGGTTTTTACCTTTAATTAAAAACAAACAACAAGGAAGTTAGGGAAGAAAGGAATGTAAAATCTGAAGATCAAGCTTTGTGAAATATAAGCTCAAAGGGCTTAGTTAATATTGTCTTAATCAAGCATCTCAGTTCCTGGATGAAATAAGTTATATATTTGAGAGATTCAGAAAGAGTAAATGATGCTGGGGTGTTAGTTTCTTGCATCTTCTTTGCAGGTCAGCAAAACAGTAACACACCAGCACCCCACTCAGCTCATTTTTTTTAATTTAACTTTTCTTATTTTTGACATAGGAGTCAATAAACAGACCAGAAAAGCATATCCTCAAGATATGTGGGTGGCAAACAGAGTCTGAGCCCAGACATTAGCATTTATTTTAAATTGGACCCAGCCTCTACAAGTAAACAGGAATCCGCCCCACTTGTGCCCCTTTTCTGACCACCCACCTCTGTTGGTTACATTAATTTTATCCATATGATCATTGGAACCAATTTATGACTGTTTGATGATCGACACTCTGGATTAAGCCTTCTTACATGTCTATATTCCAGTGCTCTGGATCAGTATCCAGGAATCATTGGCAACACTGCATGATGTTGTTTTGTTCTGTTTTGTTTTGTTTTGTTTGCTAATTAATTTCTGAGGGGAGGCAGAATTTCCCTCCTTTAACTACCCCATTGATATTCCACTCTCCCTCCATAACTCAAATTGGAGGGGGAGTGGTCAGCTGTATTACCAAATCAGAAAGATGAAAGGTTTACAAAGTGGCTAAAAATCATGTCTGTGTAGCCATTTCAGAACCAGAATGATTTCATTGCTGTTAATCTGCTTGTGTGACAGCATTCACGGCCAGGCCACCAGATGCCACTGTCTTGTCTGGAGGCTTTGTCAGTCTCGAAGGACACACACACTTGAACCCTGTTTGTGAGCCCTCTCACCTCCACCACTTCAGGAGTTGTAAATCAAGTGTGTGGATCACAAAGGGTGCAATTTATCTTTATACAGGCATACATTTCTATGGCTCCTTTCGGCCTACCTTCTTCACCCAATTTTTTCTTAAATTGAGAGAAAAAAGCATTAATCTTATACTCTGTCAAATATTTTCTACCATATTTCCAGTTGACATGTGCACTTGAAAATCAAAGGCATCTGTCCAATATTCTGTTTTTAATTACTGTGGGGGCAGGAGGGAGAGGAAGATGGGGCTTGCCACACAGCTGATTGGCTTTCTTTCTTTCACGTGATTCATCCCTCCTCATTGTGGCATGGGATTCCTTTCTCTTTTTCTTTCTCCTTTGGGATCATTGTGTATGAAAAGAAGGATTTTTAATGACAAACCCAGACTCCAGGTGCCTTGCAGAGGTTGAAGGCCAGCCAGGATTGCTGCTGCTGCTCCTGCCACCACCCCTTCCACTGGCATGATGGAATGAAAGGATGCATGTCTCCACTTCCCAGCCCCTCCCCACTTCCTTCCCCTACCCGCCCCACCCCCACCCCCGTAGCAACCTCTTCCTTCATTTATTTTTAAGTTGTGTGAATTATTTTTAAACCATTTATCCTGTTTGTGCACAGGGTTTTTAAGAAGAAACAGCACAGTGCAATGAGCAAATCCTTTCAGGATGTGTGGGAGGCAAGGGAGGGAGGATGGATGGGGAGAAAAGTCCTTTAAACAAATAGTAAAATATTGAACATGTGTAAAATCCTGTATCATTTATGAAATATGTATAAAATCAATGTAACTTCTGGAACAATAAATACTTATTCAATTTTTGAACTGTAGCATCTCATTCTTTAAAGCAAAACCAAAAAAAGAAAAACAAAGAAACTTATTTTATTTTCCTGTTATTCTAGGTGGAAAGCTTTTTACTTCTGAAATAATTTTTATAAAAATACCATTTTAAAAAGATTTGTTGCTAGAACCTATATTCTTAAAAGAGACATTTCATCAATTTTTCTTGAAGTAAGATGGTCAGTAGCTTCCTCATTTTCCAGTGCCACCCAAGGGTAAGTGACCCGACCGGCCATAATAAAACCAGTGGCAACACAGAGACTACTATCACTATCTCCTGATTAAGAGGAAAATCATATCAGACCACTAGATTGCCCAGTGGTCTCCTACACTCCAGAAGTTGTTCAGGGATGAGTCAAGATTAAATATTCATTATTTTAAGAGTTTGTGTCAAATTTATAATGATCACCAAACAAGAAAGGGCCACGTGCTGCCTCGTCCATCAAAGGCATATCAAAAAGCATGTATTTTTTTTAAAGCATGTATTAAATAAAAGATTAAAGTCATGTGATCTTAGTGGATTCAGAAAAAGCATTTGGCAAGATACAACACTACGATTAAAACACTCAAAATGGGTATAGAAAGAAAGTACCTCAAGATAATAAAGGCCATGTATGACAAACCCTCAGTTCATATAAGATGAAAAAGCTTTCCTCTAAGATCAGGAAGAAGACAAGGATGCCCACTCTGACCACTGTTATTCAATATAGTCCTGAAAGTCCTAGTCAGAGCAGTCAGGCAACAACAAAAAATAAAAGGCATCCAAATTCAGAATAAAGAAGTAAAACTCACTGTTTGCAGATGACATGGTTCTACAGGACTCCACCAAAAGACTATTAGAAACAATATATTGCAGGATATAAAATCAACATACAAAAATCAGTTGTGTTCTTATATACTAAAATGAAATATCAGAAAAAGAAATGAAGAAAACAATTGAAACAAAAAAATGATAAGTTGCTATCATGCACACTTACCACCAGGGGACAGACGCTCCAACAGGTAGGTTAGCTTGCTGCTGGAGTCCAGCTGATTGGGACTGAGCAAGAGGGGGCAGACATGCCCTGGAGCCCTCCTGAGGTCCGTCCCCGGCCAGCCAGCCCGCATCGGTTCCAATCGGGACTGGGCGAGATGCCCTGATCAGCCCTAATTGCTGCCCAGGCCAAGGGACTCCACCGGTGCATGAATTTGTGCACCAGGCCTCAAGTAGAATATAATTAAAAGCCCACAAATAAACCCACACATATAGGCTACTTTTTTTTTTTCACCAAAGAGCCAAAGCATACAATGGAGAAAGGAAAGCCTTTTCAATAAATGGTGTTAGAAAAATTGGAAAGCCACATACAAAAGAATGCAACTAGATTGCTATCTGACACCATGCACAAAAGTTAGCTCAAAATGGATTAAGTACTTGAATATAAGGCCTAAAACAATAAAATACATAGAAGAAAACATAGGCACTAAATTTATGGACTTTGGTCTCAGAGGGATTTTTGTGAACTTGACTCCAAAAGCAAGGAAAACAAAAGCAAAACTTAAATGAATGGAACTATATCAAACTAAAAAGCTTCTACACTGCAGAGAAACCATCAACAAACAAAAAGAGAACCAATCAAAAGGAAGAAGATATTTACAAATGATACTTCTAATAAGGAGCTAATATCCAAAATATATAAGTAACTCATACAACTCAACAAAAAACAATCAAATTAAAAAATTATCAAAGGACCTGAATAGACACTTCTCCAAAGAGGATATACAGATAGCCAATAGATATATGGAAAGAGGCTCAATGTCACTAATCATCAAAGAATTTTAAACCACAGTGAGATATCACCTCACACCTGTTAGAATGGCGATCAATAAATCAACAAACAACAAGAGCTGGAGAGGATGTGAAGAAAAGGGAACCTTCATACACTGCTGGTGGGAGTGAAAATTGGTACAACCTCTATGGGAAACAGTATGGAGGTTCTTAAAAAAATAAAGAATAGAGCCACCATATGATCCAGCAATCCCTCCCCTGGTTATCTACCCCCAATATTGAAAACACTTATTTGATATCTGTACCCCAGCGTTCATTGGAGCATTATTCACAATAGCCAAGTCATGGAAAGAACTAAGTGTCCTTTGGCAGATGATTGGATAAAGAAGATGTGGTACATATATACAGTAGAATACTAAGCCATAAAAATGATGAAATATTGGCATTTCAATGGTTGAATCTTGAAAGTATCATGCTAAGTGAAATAAGTCATGTGGAAAAGGATGAGAACCTATGATTTCACTCATGTGGGACCTAACAGAAAGCAACAAATGAACAAACAAAACAAGCTCATAGACACAACAGTATGGTCGTTTCCAGAGGGAAAGGGGGTGGGAGAAGGATGACGAGGATAAAGAGGGTCAAATATATGGTGACAAAAGGAGACCAGACTCTGGGTGGTGTGCACACAATGCAATGTACAGATTTGTATTACAGAATTGTCCACTTGGAATTTACATAATGTTATTAACCAATGTCACCCCCAATAAATTTAAAAGGGAGGAAAAAGCATGTAGTAAATGTCTGACTGCATATAGTGTGGTATGAGATATCAAAGGGCCTCCTTAGCTATCTATAGTCCTGCGTCCTGGCAGCTTACAGCAACCTAAATAACACAGACATCCCCAGGACGTTTATAAAGTGTAAGACGATAAAAGATTGAAAATGTTAAGTTCTTGTTTGCATTCAACAAATAATGCCTGCATATTCCATGACATTCTGTTAGGCTTTAGTGGGTTTTCAGTGGAGATCGTGGAGAGTGTTAAATCCATTAGTGAGTGTAGGTAATGCTGTTTTGCCAAGAGATCATGGACTTTTGAGCTGGAAAAGTAAAAGGATTCTTAGGGGATGATCCCTGCAGCAGCAGCGTGGCATTCCTTGTTAGAAATGCAAGTTTCTCTCGTCCCTACTGAATTATAAACTAGGAAGGGGACCAGCAATAACAAGCCCTCCTGGTGATTCTGATGTAAGTCATTGATTTAATCAAACCATTGCTTTAAAGAGAAGGAAACTGAGGCCAAGAGAGCAGCTATGTCAGAACCACCATTAAATCCTGCCATCAAACACAACCAAGTGCCCGAAGGGCTGGTCAGTGTGGTGAGTATGGCTAATGGAAAGAATAGAAATCCTGTCTCGTGTACTGTTGCATCTTCCTTGCCAGGGTGCAGTGGTAATCACATAGTAGATGATTACAAGAGCAAATGCAAATAGGTTGAATTTTTACAGTGTATCTGGAAAGATTTCTCATAAAAGTGGAACTTCTTAGATTTTAGAACTCAGTTTCACCAAAATTGTTAAAGGTTGTCATTCATTTTTATCACAACTAACAACCTTTAATTCATTGCTCTCCTATATATCCAAATTCCTTGTCTCCAAAATGTTGTTATATCCTTAGGATAAATGTATAGGTTAATCTTATTGTATCCTACTAAATATAAACGACTCACCATAAAATTTTATTTCATTTTATGTTTTATAAATGAATCATCCACTGAGCAATCCCTCCTCCTCAAAATTGCCCTCAGCTCCTGTAACTCTGCTCTTGAGTTTCCTTCTATAAATCTCTACCTTCCAGTCTCTTTTGCAGCGTCCCCTTCCTCTGCCCACATCTCTGACCCCATCTTGGACCCATTTTCCATGGATGATCTCATCCCCTCCTCTCCCCCAATTTCTGTTCCTCTTCTGTGCCGGTGGCTCTCAAACTGTTATTGTAGCTCGGCTCCATCCTGAATAGCAGATTGCTTTACCCACCTCCTAACTGATCTATTTCTAGCACTCCCCCCTATGCTTTCAATTCCTTCAGTATCACCAGCATATTTTTGTTTTTAATTTATAATAGCACAGACTTTAGGAAAATAAGAAAATATGAAAAAGATAAGGGAGGCTAGAAGACACCACAAAAAGTAGTCGGCCAAATCTAGACTGTGAGTCATTCTATAAGGCAAATGTCGGGGTTTCTTCAACAAATGGGGGTGTGGTGGGGGGGAACCATTATAGATTAAAAAAAAACTTAAGAGACCCTAGCATGGCTCTTGTTTGAATCCTGACTGACTCAAACCAGCAATACAAAGAAACTTTTGAAACACTTGGGAAAAATTAAATAGGGAATGGGTATTAGATATTAGATTATTACTAGTTTTCAAAGTTGTACTAGAAACATTACAATTCTGTAAAGTGGAAAGATCATATGTTAGAAATGCATGCTGGTATAAATGAAATAAGAATGACAGTGTTAGTAATTGCAGCGGGGTGTTCATTACTGTTTACTTTTCTATATATTTAAATTTTTTCATCATAAAAAGTCAAAATGAAAGGGCATTTCAACTGAAAAGGAAAAAAATAGGAATAAGGGGGGGAAAATCCTGCCATCCTGAGGAATGCTTGTTTACAGAACCAGCAGCTAGCTATCTGGTAAAAGTCCTTGACTCAGGCAATCCATCCGGGCAGCAAGTCTGGTTTATCTCTTGCAGACGTCCTCTGTTCCTCTGCAGCCGTGTGAAGCACTCGGTGGCTTCTCCTTCTCAGGGACAGGAAACTGCAGGGGTTGTTTTTTCTGTCCAGGGCACTGACCCTTAACAGCGCTACCCTGTAAGGAGACAGTCCTCAGCCCCAAGGTCATCCATTGCTGACACCACATTGCAACTTACGCTAATGGCCAAATTGCCTGTGTTCTGCTAGCATTAGCGGTAAACTACCTAACTCCGACCTTAGCTCGATGGAAATCCCTTGCTAGACTGCAAACTCTGTGCTTGCAGGTACCACTTTTACCTTCAGTGTCAAAAACCAGTGACCAGCGTGGCATCTGACCATGAGCATCAATGTTTCATTGAACTGAAACCCGGAAAGGGGCCACAGTAATTTGAATGCCGCGTAGCATAGTAAAAATGATGAAGGTATTATAAAGACAAGTTTAAGGACTACTTCCTAAAGATGATAATAT